CAATTTCTTTCCTTACTCCCTCCTTCTGGGTTCCTCCTCCCCACCTTCTACTGCTCTTAGTCAGGGCATGGTTTAGTGGGGCATGTAATTGGAATCCATCTTTGCAGAAGAGAGTATAAGTAGAATATGCTGCCTTGAGACTAAAATTAAGGATAGAGAAGTCTTCCTCACTTATCAGTACCTTCTTAAAGGAGGAATTCCTTCCTTCCTTCCTTCCTTCCTTCCTTCCTTCCTTCCTTCCTTCCTTCCTTCCTTCCTTCCTTCCTTCCTTCCTTTTCTTCTTTTTTAAGAGGAAAAGCAATTCTAGGCTTCTCAGCCTGATCTAGCAAAAAAAAAATCCTAGAAAGAGTGGGGGCAGGACTGAGACTAATCATTCCCTAACATTCATATTGTTTCTTTAAAGTCATTGGGTTAACTTTCCACTTCCTAGAAGCCCATAGCATAAGCTGTCAAACAGAATGGCTTGCTTTTATCTCTACGTCCAGGCCTAGGAAGAGGTAGTGGCTAGATTTTAAAGCTGAGGGATTAGGCTTATGGAATTCGTGGCGAGGGCCTTTAAAGTCATCAGCACAGTCAAGGCCTGGGGGGCAGTTTCAAGTTTTAGCTCCAACCTGTACTGTGTGCCAAAGCTGCATTAGCCTCCTTAAAACAACAATAAACAGAAAACAAAAAGCTTTTATTATAGAAGTGTACAGATAAATACAAAAGAAAGAAAATATTATAAGAAACCCTGTGTACCCATCATCCAGCTTCAACAATAATCCACATTTGGCTAATCTGGTTTCTTCTATACGCCCACACTCATGCATTGCCCTTCTTCCCAATTTCAACATTACTTTTATTTATTTTTAAAAATTGACTTGAGAGAGTGAAACACAGATTTATGTTCCACTTATTTATGCATTCATTGATTTTTTTTTAAAATCCTCACCCAAGGATGGTTTTTATTTATATAGATATGTGTATATATATGTGTGTGCGCGTGTGTATATATAATGTATATTGCTTTTTTTTAGAAAGAGTGGAAAGGAGACAAACATCGTTGTGAGAGAGATGTTAATCAGTTGCCTCTTGTACATGCCCTGACTGGGGATTGAACCTGCAACCTAGGTATGTGCCCTGACCGGATACTGAACGAGCTTACAACCTTTTGGTGTATGGGACAACTTTCCAATCATCTGAGCCACCTAGCCAGGGCCATTGGTTGATTCTTATATGTGCCCTGACTGGGGACTAAACCTGAAACCTTGGTGTATGGGGACGATGCTCTAACCAACTGAGCTGCCTGGCCAGGACATTACTTTTTTTTTTTTTAAATTCTCACCTGAAGATATTTTTTCCATTGCTTTTAGAGAGAGTGGGAGAGAGAGAAATATCTATATGAGAGAGACACATCAATTGGTTGCCTCCTGCAACGAAGGTACATGCCTTTGGCTGGAATTGAACCCGGGACCCTTCAGTTGTCATTGATCGGCTGCCTCCTGCATACCTCTGACTGGGGATCAAGCCCGCAACCTGGACATGTGCCCTGCCCAGGAATCGAACTGTGATCTCCTGGATCCTAGCTTGATGCTCAACTGCTGAGCCATGCTGGGCTGGGCTAAAATTTTTATTGAGATCATTGTAGATTCACATGGATTTATTAAAAATCACTTACACACTTTCCTATTTTCCCCAGTGTTAATTGCTATAGACTGAATGTTTGTGTTCTCCCAAAATTCATGTTGAAACTTAATCCTCAAAGTGTTGGCATTTGGAGGTAGGGCCTTTGGGAAGTGTTTATGCCATTATAAAAGAGATCCCAGAGAGTTCCCTTGCCTCTGCCGCCATGTCCATGAACCAGGAAGTATGTTCACCCCAAACACTGAATCTGCTGATGCCTTGATCTTGGACTTCCAAGCCTCCAGAACTGTTGAGGAATAAATTTCTGTTGTTTATAGCCATCCAGTCTATGGTATTCTGTTATAGTAACACGGATAGACGAAAACAGTAACATTTTGCAAACTATATTATATTGTCACAACAAGGATATTGACATTCATACAATCCACCAATCTGAGTCATATTTCCCAGTTTTGTACTCATTTTTGTGTATGTATGTATGAAGTTCTGTTCAATGTTATAACCTGTGTAGGGTTCTGTATCCACGGCAGTAAAAGAAACAGTTCCAATACCAAAGGATCCCTGATGTTGCACTTTTATGACTACACCCGTCTTGTCTACCACCTCTTCCACTTCTTCCATAACATTTGGCAATCCCCAATTCTGTCTTCCATTTCTAAACTTTTGTAACTTCTAAAATGTCATATAAATGAAACCACACAGCATGTAATTTTTTGGATTAGCTTTTATTTTTTTCAGTATAACCTGGCAATTCATCCATGTTGTTGTGTGTATCAAGTTTGTTCCTGTTGCTGAGTATATTCTATGACAAAGAAGTACCATAGTTTAACTTTATACCTGTTGAAGGAAATTTGAATTGTTTCCAGTTTTTGGTTATTACGAATAAAGCTGCTATGAATATTCTTGTATCGATTTTGAAATGCCTATATGGAATTAGCTACTAAAAAGTGGGGCCAGGGGTGCTTATTGAGTCCGTCTTTGTTTCTAAGGGCTTTTCAGTGGATAAAATTAGGATATGTTTTTTTTGTTTTTTTTTAATCCTCACTTGAGGTATGTTCATTGATTTTAGAGAGGAAGGGGGAGAGAGAGATCAATCAGCTACCTCCTGTACTTGCCCCTACTGGGAATCTAACCAGAAACCTAGGTATGTGCCCTGATCGGGAATCAAATCAAAAAACTTTTGTTGCATGGGTGAATGCTCAACCACACTGGCAGGGAAGGATATGCTTAATTTAAGCTAATATATGCCATGAATTCATAAAGATAAATCAAGACTACAGGGAATTTGCATAAATTGCTGATTTTAGGTTTGCATGTCTTTTTTCCTGTTATGATACAAATCTACATAACTATTTTTTCCCTATTTTTTGTGGTAATGTATACTTTCAAATGGTTAAGATGTTAAATTTTATGTTATGCATATTTTACAAGTATACACTTGTGTTATTAAATATGTTCATAATGTTGTGCAACTATCATCACAATCCATCTCCATAACTTTTCATCTTGTAAAACTGAAACTCTGTACCAGTGATTTTCAACCAGTGTGCTGCAAGAATTTTTAAAACATGCAATATCTATTTAGTCAGGGGCATTGACCTCTTTTTCCTTAGATTGTCAAAAAAAAAAAAAAAAAAATGACAACAGCTAATACAACAACAGCTGTCTGGTGTGAATAAATCAAAATTATACCTACTTTTTTTCTCAGATCGGCAAAAAAATATTTTGGTGTGCTGCAGAATTTTAGTAATTTAAATGTGTCATGAGATGAAAAAGGTAGAAAATTGCTGCTCTATACCCATTAAATAACTTCCCATTTCTCCCTCTTCCTCCCCAGCCCTTGGCAACCGGAATTCTATCTGTCTTTATTATTTTAATTAGTCTAAATACTTTATATAAGTGGAATCATACAGTGTCATTTTTTGACATTCAATATTATTTTTTATTAGTTTCAGGTGTACAGCATAATGGTTGATTATATAATTTACAAAGTGATCCCAACATAACTGTTTTAGCCAACACATTTTCACCTATTCCCAACAATATGACTACTGAAAACAATTTAAGATTTTATGGCAGTTTTTTTAAAATAGTAGTTAATTTTGTCCTTAGGGTAGATCTTTGGATATATAGTTGAATCAGTGTGTTTTCAAGTCATTCAGAAGAGTTCCCTTCTGTTTAGTTAGGCCACCAACTAGATATACATTTTAGGTTCACTTACTTCATTTTACTTTCAACTTTTAGGAACTGTTTTTTAAAAAATTAATTTTTATCATACCATCATGTAATCAGGTTTCCGAAGTCAAATGCACAAAACAAAGTATCTTCAAAGTCTTACCTCTTTTCCCTTTATTGTAGTCTCTCCTTTCCAAGCTAAGTAACCATTAAAAAATCGAAATGTATATTTCCATTTTTTAAAGATATGTTTTTATTTATTTATGTCTGTACCTCCCTACTTCCTTTTACAGATGAAAACTAAAGGGAATGAGCATACTTTCTTATTGCTGACTTTAGCAGGTAAGCCTCGAAGGGGTGGGGAACCTTCTTTCTGCCAAAGGCCACTTGGATATTTATAACATCATTTGTGAGCCATACAAAATTATCAACTTAAAAATTAGCCTGCTATATTTGGTCAAATATTTAATTAAACTCACCCCTAATGTGATGGTTGGAACTGCTTCTCTTTGGTGAAGCCTTGGCAGGGCCAGACCAACTGATTTCTGGGGCCTTATAGGGCCCAGGGGTCAGCTGGTCCCACCCCTGGGTCTAGTGTTTCACTATTGAGATCCTCGAAAACTTTTTTGTAAACTGAGAGCAGGGCTATCCATTCTATCTGATCTTCCACAGCATTTCTTGGGAAGACAAAGGATGTAAAAACTCTAAAACTGAAAAGTGGTACACAAACATGCCTGTTTACTTATTAGCCCACGTTTCGGAGAACCTTGAGCCCTGAACCCAATTAGTACATTTAACACAAGAACAAACAGAGGCTCACAGAACTGAGAGGACCTGACCAAGGAACACAGAGAATATGCGAGAGCTCCAGTCATCTGCCTTGCAGTCCAGGGGTCGGATAAATCCACCAAGCTCTTTTTTAAAAACTGTACTCAACATACAAATACCTATTTTATAGAAATGAGTATTTCAGGAGACCCTCGAAAAGGAAAAAAACTAACGAAAAGTCTCAAGGCTGAGTGAGGCAGTTAACGCTCAGGCAACCGCGACCGCCCAGAGTTCCAGGAGGGAACAGGAGGCCGGGTGAGCGAGCCCTGCCTTCACTCAAACTGGGAAGCTCTGGTAGGAGCTCGAGGCGACCGAAAACCTGGAGATGTGTGAAGGCACGGAACCGAGCAGGGAGGTCCAATGCGGGGAAGCCGGACAGTTAAGTTAAAACTGTCCCATCTGCCACCGGCAGGGAGGGCTAACACACTCCGACTGCAGCTGAAGCTGGGCGAAGATTCCACAGGGAAAGGACATACGTCATAGATCCGGAAGGAGAAATGGTACAAATGGGGATCCGTAGGGCTTCCGGGGCTTCAGCTCTAATATCCTGGCCTAGGGGTGGGGCCGAGGTTGGCTCTTAGAGGCCCGCCAGGAAACAGGGGGAAGAGCAACGAAAATGACGCTAGGGAGCGTCAACGGGGCGGGGCGGGGGCTTGTCTCCCAGCCCCCTTGGGCAGGGGCTAACGGTTTCCGGTAGCAATGTCCGGCAGGGGCCGGGAAGAGGAGGTGGCAAGACTGTGCCCTGTGAGCCTTGGCTCCCCCAGTAACCCGTACCCCTGCAGCCCCTTCAAGATGATGGGCTATGGGGAGTCAGAGCTGAAATCGTTGGAAGGGGAGGAAGCCGTGGCGGCCCCGGGACCACCCCCAGAGCCTCGCGCCCCGGAGCCCGGAGTCCCAGTGCCGGACCGTGGCCTGGATCTGAGCCTGAGCCTGAGCCCGCGGTCTGAGAGCCCCGAGCTGCCGAACTGCAGCCCGAGGCGGGGGAAGGGGCGGGCAAATCGACAGGGCGGGGCCCGCAAGGGGCGGCAGGTGAGCTGGCTTAAGGCCTGGACCGCATCCCGTCAACGACTCCGCGCCCTCTTCTTCACCGCCATGCTTTCTGCTCCCAGGTCCGTTTCCGCGTGGCGCCGCCCTCCCCGGTCCGGTCCGAGCCGCTGCCAGTCACCGGCGCACCGAGCGAGAGGCCCGCGGCGTCGCAGGACCTGGGAGCGCCCGCGCAGCACAGCAGCCTGGCTTTGAGCCTCGAGCTGCAGGCCGCGCGGACCGCAGCCGCGGGCCAGTTCGATGCCGCAAAGGCCGTGGAAGAACAGCTGAGAAAGTCGTTCCAGACCCGCTGTGTCCTGGAGGAGAGCGTGGCCGAGGGTGAGGGGGGCAGATGGCCGGCAGGGCGCGGGAGTGGGGGTGAGAGGCACGGCTCACCTTCGCTCCCCCTGCGGTCTCAGGGCTGAACGTGCCGCGCTCCAAGCGGCTGTTCCGGGACCTGGTGAGCCTGCAGGTGCCCGAGGAACAGGTTCTGAACGCTGCGCTGAGGGAGAAATTGGCGCTCCTTCCACCGCAGTCCCGCCCCCCGCCCCCAAAGGTGAGGGACTTGGGCTTCAGTCCCCTCCCGCGCTCTCTTCCCTCTCCGTGGCGGGTTCTTCTCTCTCCGAGTGTAACTTTGCTTTGGACTCCAAACAGGAGCCACCTGCGCCAGGGCCAGACATTACTATGCTGTGTGACCCAGAAACATTATTTTATGAATCTCCACACCTGACCCTGGACAGTCTGCCCTCTCTCCGCCTTCAACTCCGCCCACGCCCTTCAGAGGATACTTTCCTCATGCATCGGACACTGAGACGATGGGAACTGTAAACCTGGAGTCTCCCAGAACTGCTAGTTAGTATTTTTGTGTTAAAAGTATCAGAATAAAGTGGTTTTGCTAACTAATGGGACTTTTCTTGGGAGGCTTAAGATGGGGTCAAGCCGCTTGTTGGAAGCTGCCTGGAAGTCAAGTGTTTTGGCCCTTTTCTAAGGGAACTCAGTAATGACAAGTAGAAAACATTGGTCCAAGTCAGGGGTTTAGTTTAGTTTAGTTTTTTTAAAATCCTCACTCGAGGATGTTTATTGATTTTAGAGAAGTTAGGAGAAACATTCGACTGGTTGCCTCTCCTAAGTGCCAGGACTGGGAACCAGCTGGCAACCTTTCAGTGTAGGAGATGATCCAACTGAGCAAGCCACACTAGTCACGGCCAAGTCAGGGATTTAGATACTCTCCCCACATCTTTCTGACCAGTCACACCTACCACCTTTGTTTTTGATGACACCAACTTGTTTCTTTGCACCGCTGGATCTCAGCCTGTATGTTACCAGACTCAAGGAACCTGTAAGGCAGCTACTAGCACCTAGTTATTTAAATAATCTTGCTTTTACCTTCAAGGGCCTTGCCCATCTTTACAACTGGCCAAAGAGTACTCAGTATCTGTTGAATGTCCAAAGCTCCAGGGACCCTTGACAAGCCACTGAAGAGCTATAAGTTAAACTGCTTATTAGTCTGGTTCCACAGCAGCAAAAAGGAGGATGGGTGGTAGGTAGGTCCTAGAGCAGGGAGGCAGTCTCATCCAAAGTGCCTTTGGAAAAAAACTGATTTGAAAGGGAGAGATAGGAACATCAATGATGAGTCATTGATCTGCTGCCTCCTGCACACCCCCTACTGGGGATCTAGCCTGAAACCCTGGCACATGTCCTGACCAGGAATCAATCATGATCTGCATTTCACTGGTTGACAATGACTGAGTCACACCAGCTGGGCCACAGTGCCTTTTTCTAGCTCCACTTTAACTCCACTGTTAACTTCCAAAGTTAGCCTTCTGCCAAAGCTTCCACAAAAAAATTGTGTCAGTGGGTTTTTTGGGGGTGAGGGTGGGGGAGGATAGATGGGCTCTTCAAGTTTCACATCAAAATTTGCATTATATCCCCTTTTCCTGACTAGGGTTCTATATAGTTGTGTACAGATCTAGCAATCCACAATCTTCCCAGCCACTGAAAAACCTTTAGACTGTAGTTTGGGCAGAGAGGAAGCACAGGCTGTACTGGGAGCCTCCACCCCTTCCCACCAGCTAAAAAGTGCCAGACATATATGTGGGGGCCATTGCCCTAAACATCAAGTTTATTGTGCTGTTCTTACATTCCAAACCCAATCCCCTCTCCCAATGGGGGACAGCAGAGGGATTTTCACAGTACCTGCGTGCCCCCCCATCAAGCTTCCCCCTCTTAAGCCTCAGTCCATCTATCTGTGGTCCACTAAAACGTAGCTAGGGGCAAGGGCTGAGGAGAATGGGAATCTCTCCTTGGAAGAACAGGAGGAAGTGGCTAGAGAACTTGATAACCCCCCACCTCCTGTGCCCTAGGAGAACAGAGGTCAGCAAACAGTCCATGCCATCCAGCCCAGTGAGCCGGGGGAGAGGAAGATGGTAACTCCAGAACAGCTGGGCTTGCTGCTTAGGTACCAGAGGTGTAGGGAGGAGGCTGAGGCAGCAACATAGGAAAAGCTTTCTATGCAGATCCAAGAAAGGAAACTTTTGGAGCCAGAAAGGAAAGACTGTGGGATACTTTCTTCTTTCCCCAGGTCCTTAAGAGCAGCGGGCAGCTTCTTCACACTTTCTGTTCAGGGGCCACTTAGTGGCTGGGGGAACGGGCCTTGTGGAACAGGTACACAGGACGCTGGAAGCCTGAGAGGAGAGTATGCAATCAGGAGGGGTTGGTAGGACCTCTCAAGACTCCACAGTGTCTGTACCCTCTCCCCCAGGACTGGTCTCCCTTCCTCCCCCAACAAAATAAGCCAACCTTACCTTTGAAGGTGTTGTGAGGTGTGGCCACAAGCTCATAGCTAGAAAAGCCCACCTCTGGGGATGTCAGGTAGGAACTGAACTGCTCTGGTTTCAGCTGGATTCGATAATAGTTCTTGTAGATTGTTTCCTAGGGAGAAGAACAGGGGACCTCTTCAGCTTGTAGCCTTCTCCCTTGCTGGAGAATGATGGCCACCCAGGAGATCTTTTCACCTTGTTCAGAAAGTCCTCCTTCTGCTTCCTTGGGCCTTTCTTGCCTCAACTAAAGGATATACCCATTTTCCACTGAAACCCCAACTCACTGTGAGAGTCTTTCTCTTGGCGTAGGTTGACCAAGGTTGAGGTTCTAGGACCAGGATGCCCCCAGGGCGTAGGTGCCGATAGATTCGGCGAAACATGCGCTTCAGTCCCTCGTCTCCCCAGTTCAGATGCACCCACTTGGTAAGGCTAAGGCAGAGCACCACATCATACTCAGGTGTTTGGGCCTCCACCAGCTCATCTCGATCCAGCACATAGTTACCCTGAGGGAGAGGTAAACAGAGGCAATGAAAGAACCACTGCCCCACACAACTCAATCTGCAGCCTCAATTTAGCCCTTGACCACAATCATCTGTAATACTCTGTCTAACTTTCTTGCATACTATTAGTGGTAGACCAAACAAAAAGAAGCCTGGGTAGTTTTAAGTTGAGCAAAGTATCCAGAAGATCTCCAAAGTTGGGATGAAACGACAGAGAAAGAATGCTGGAGTTCCTCCAAGACCCTGTCCATTAAGCTGAGTGACTCAATTTTATGCAAAGGGACCTAACCCAGATTTGAAAGGGAGACCTGTGGTTCCTTCTCAGCAGTTGGGGCTAGCAAAGTTTCAGGCTTGTTCTTTCTTCCAGAGCCCACCCCTTCGGAAATCTTTTCTAAATAAGCTCATTACCACCCCTCTGGAAAGTCTACTTTCCAACACTACTCCTGCAGATGGCTGAATTAGACTGTCTTATGAGAAGCTATGTGCAGTCAGGGGACAGACACTGAAGACGTGTTACCCTCCCCTCCCGCAGAGGACTCTGACTCTTCTCCATCCCATTATTTAGGGTCAATGTGTAGATGATCCAAGGCCAACCTACTTGGGTTCCTGACCACTGACACTCTTCAACCAACTCACTATCTAACGCAATCAAAGTCCCTATCAATGGACAGAAACTGTAAAAATATTAGCCACTACCTTAATCCTCCCCCCACCTGAAACATTCCATGTCTGATATCCATCCCTTCAAGCACCTTCAGCAGGCTGGAGGACATGTTTCCATCTGGACCAAATCCCCCAGTGAGCATTAGCAGTAGCCCCCAAGAGAAGGTGGACTGATCTGGATTACAGTCCAGGTAGAGAGCAGGGCAAAAGGAGTCAGATCCCATTTTGAGGCTATTAGTCACAAGAAAGGAGACCAGGCAGAGCTCCCACCTTTCCAGGTTATAGGAGGGGAGACACACCCAGTGGAACCAATTGCAGATTCAGACCATTCTTTTGAGAATCTGGTTCTCCCAGTGAGGACGGCATGCAAAAAAATCCCTCTGGCTCATAACCTTCCCCTGCTACATCCTTATTTAATTGCATTCTCATACCTGCCCCCTATCCCAAGACCCTCTTACCGTAACAAAGACAACATTGTTGGGGAAGACTGATGTGTCTGCTCCATCCAAGGGCACTTGGGGTGCAGCAATGGGACCCCGGCTGGCTGTCAGTGAGGCTGGGAAGCAGCTCCTCTTTCGGATGGTCGTTGTCCCTTCCTCACTTTCTGCCCCTGGGTCCCCCTCAGAAGTCTGGGGTTGCAGACGCAGCTCCTCAGACAGGTAGTGTCGGATGTTTTGGCGGGCCGAGTGGATGAGTTGGGCATCGATATCCAAGCCTACCATGCGGGATGGGCCCCACTTACAGGCAATGCTCAGGGTCAGATGACCCACATTGCAGCCCAGATCTAGGACGTCCCGACCCCGAAACCACTCAGGCTTCAACACCCGAAGGCGCCCATCCTCACAGGAAGGGTTTCGGTACCCATAGTACTTGCAATAATTCCCATACTGGAACTTGCGCTGTTGCTTTTTGAAACCTGCTGCAGGTAGTGGGTGAAGCTGATGGCGGCCTCCCCCACTCCCTCGGCCCTTTTCCTTGGGACCCTGGCATCCTCCACCCCTAGCCCCTGCCTCTGACTTGCTGGAAGTCCTGCGACGTTTTCGATGTCGTGAGGAGGAAGACGGGGGTGCAGAGGTAACTGAGGCAACTGAAGGGGCTGAAAGGGAGCCTGAGGGACCCTGTAGGGCAGATGGAAGGGGAGACACGACCTCATCCCTGCAGTTGATGGCTGTGTTGAGTTCATAGGGCTGGGGGGCATCCCGGTTCTGGCCCCTATGCCGCTGCTGCTGTGCGGTGCCCTCCCCAAGGAGCGAGGGGGTTGGGGGGGCTGTGGGCAGCACAGAGTGGCTATCATTCCCTCCAGTTGCCTGCTGCTGCTGGTGGTGCTGTCCCCGGTGTCTATGTCGCTTCCGACCAGTCTTGAGTGGTGAAGCAAGAACTACTTGGGCCTCATCAGTGCAAGTATTGAGACTGAGCGGGTCAGTAATATCTTTGGGGATGAGAATCTCCACTGGATCTCGCCCCTTGGCCGGAAGTGGGGATGACTTAGGGGTCTCTGCATTGAGTGCGCGGCTCACTTCCTCATCCAGTAGACTATTCAGGTTCAGTGGATCAAAGATATTGCCCCCCAGGAGGAAGTTGGAGGGTAACACAGAGTCACAGTCCGAATTAACCCGCCTGCGCCTCTTGAAGGCCGGATGTTTGAAGCCTCCACCACCTCCTCCTACATTGCAGCTATTTCTCCTCTTTCCTCCACCTCCCCCAGGGGGCCGGTGGGGCTGGTAACCATTCCGGGGTCGAGGCGGGGCAGGGGGTCCCAGTTCTGTTCCGCCTCCTCCCCGTCGCTCCTCCCCCACGTCCGGGGGAGCGGCTCGCCCGTGGGGATCCGACAAGCGGGCCTCCCCATGCGCCGGGGGGCCGCCCCCTCGTTGCTGCTGCGCCTGGCTGCCTCGAGGGTTGGATGTAGCCCCAGGGCTCTCCTTGCCCGCCCCAGAAGCCAAGACCCCAGCTGAGTGTGTGCGCGGACCAGGCCCACGCTGAGTTCCGCCGCGGAGCTCCCCGGAGGCGGCCTCTTGGTGCGGTTGCACCGTGGGGCTGCCCCCTCCGCCTGACTCCTCTTTGAGCGGCGGCGGCGGGGCAGGCACCAGAAACGGCTCCTTCTCCGCCGCCATCTCTATCATTTCCTTCCCTTAGTCCGTCTCAGTCGAGGGCTACGGGGGTAAACCAGGGGGTTTAACCCCCTCCTTAAACCCCGCTCCCTTCCCCCCTTTCCCTGGTGCGCGCGCAGCTCTGCTCTTCTCGACCAGTCTCGAGCCCAAGCTCCTCCCCCGAAGCGCGCCCCCCTCGCCCAAGAGACCAAAACAAGATGCCCGCGAGACCCGAACAACTCGAGGAATAAACCGCGCGTGCGCCGACCCCTTTCTCCTCTGCCACTAAGACTCTGCCGCGAGCGCGCACTGCTGGAGCGCGTTCTACTCGCCCCAGAATCACGCATGCGCACTCCGCCACCACCCTGGTCGCGCGCGCATCCGAGTACGAACCAACTTAACGGCTCCGGGAGTTTAAATATAGCCCCCCTTAATCCCCCCCAAAAGCCCACCACCCCAAACTGACACCCTACTTCCCTTCGCAGCTATGTTCGTCCCTACTGATATCCTTTGTCTCTGCCGCGCGAACCCACCCACCGTAAGCGGGGGACGGGGAGCTGGTGTGAAAAGGTCTCCTTGACACCCGACCCTTGTTCCTGAGGAATGAGTCTCAGCGGTCTCCGCCCGGCTCTAAACCCAACAACCTCCCTACCCCGCCTCCTTCCTCCCCCTAGCGGGGAGCGCCTGCGCACATCCTTTTGGGCTTGCGCGGGTAGATGCAGCACGTGCTGGAGGTGACGCCCCGCCTTCCGTCCTAGGGGCGGGGACTGTTACGTAGCTTCCTCAGGTTTGGTACACGTAACGTGCGTCAGAACGATTTAGAGGGGCGTGACTAAGGAACGGGATGCCCCTTATGAATTATTCATAACCTAGCCCCCCCCACCTTTGCCCACCTACTTAGAAGGGCTGCGGGGGGTGGCGAGGGGGTGAGCTTTAAAAGTGGAGGAAGGGGCGAGTGTACTGACCGTCTTCCTACGAAATGTTCTCATGAAAATACGGTAAGTCATTTTAACTCACCCCCCTGGAAAATATTCACTGCTGAACTGAAAAAAAAAAAAAAAAAAATCAGCACTAAAACAGCCGATGTTGTCCAACTTCCTTTTTCCCCCGAAATCGCCGAGTCGTACTCTCGCTACTCAGCCTTCCCTCAATCGCGATCACCTGGGGACACCACGCCCTTCCCTCCGCCTCCACACCCAAATCCCCGACACCAACGCCCCCGTACACCACCGGACGCTTGCGCTCGATCCCCCTAGCCCGAGGACCACGACCCTAATCCCACCACAGCCACCAACAGCAATACATTCACCACCACCACCATCTCGCACGCAGGCCTTCCCGAGCGCATGGTGCGGCTTTGCGCCGCCTCATAGAAAAACGAGTGTGGGTGGGGAAGGGATTTAGACTTGCTTGACTGCCTTGGCCAATGGGGAGGAAGCTACTCAACGCCCTTTCTAGTGGGTGCTAGATGGCCTATGGCCTGTTCTCTCTGCCAACAGTGCTTGGGTTGCGGGTCCTGTCCCTGAAAGAGGATGGGAGAGGCGAGAATGGGGTGGAGAATCTCAAACAAAGTATTAAAATACGGGTGCGAAGGAGACTAAAAGGAAGAATAGGAATCGTGGGATGAAAAAAAGAAAAAGACAGTTTGGGTCAGAGGAAAGTTAGTAAAAGAAAGATGTAGTTCATTAACGATCAGGCACTGCTGTTGCCGCCTAAAAAAAGAGAGGCCATCCAGGATTGTGGGATTTGTAGTTTTACTGGGTCGTTCGATTGGAAGATGGCGGCAATCACTCAGCTGCGCAAGCGCACACGCGTCTTCCGGCTGCGCTTGCGCCTCAGCGCTGAGAGTTCGACGCTTGAGGGAACTGCGGCGCTTACGCGTGGCCTCGCGCCTTTTTTTTTTTTTTTT